CACACACACACACACTCAGTCACAAAAACACACATGTTCCAGCACTCCATGTACACCCTTAACTCAATTTTGGTAAACAAATGTGGGCTGGACACTGGGGTCAAAGGCTGAATCCACAAGATAATTTGCAAAGGGAGAGAACATTTTGTCATCTTCTGACGTGGTGAAATAACAGCACGGGGAGCTCACAGCCATCACCTACTAATATTAGTCTTCTTTCACACATGGGAAGTTCAACGTAACTAGCTAGTCAGAATGAAACAACAGCAAAACAACAGCTGATGTTCTGGATGTTTAACACTTTCCATCCATGACCTTTTTGTCCCGTCCATTTAGTTAGCTTTTGTGGGCAGGTACATCTATCAATACACAAAGTCACCCATCTATTTGGGTGCAGTCTGTCTCACACATTGCACATGCATGCCCTTGACATGCTAGTCTATTGTAAGAGCCTGTGGGTGTGTGTGTGTCGTTGCGTATGTGTTTCAGGGTCTTTGCGTCTCCTGTGGCTGAAAATCACAGTTTGACACACCACCATCTCTATGACCAGGGGCCACAGGATATCCCACATCACACCTTTAGAATACCCAATCTCTATAATCTACCTCATTCCTCTTTGGCCTTGGCTTACAGTCAGGTACCCAAATGAATCCAGCCGTATAGTGCACTGCAGTCTATCTGCAATCAATGGCGATACACTGCATAACACCCAACTGGATCAATGATACAGCAGTCAGTCAATATGCCAGCAGTTAACCCAGCTGATTAGGGGTAATATGGGGAATTTCACATCTCCATGAATAAGACAGCGAGCCTACATGTTCTAAGATTACGCATACCAGAGCACACCACTTCTTCCTGAATGATTCAATCCGTCAACAGGCGACCGATGTGTGTGTTGTGATCTGTGGCAGACAGATGATGCCTTTAGTGGGGGAATCCTGCCGCGCAATTAAATGTACTGGGCAGAGTGGTGTTGATGGACAGATAGAGTCTATCCGTTGGTGATTGGCTTTTTAATTGAGTCCCTCCACGTGCACCGATCTCTATCATAAACCCTTGGACCGTGTCATGGGCGGGGGGCTGAGCCATCAAAGGAATCAGTGGTAGTAGCAGCTGTGGGATAAAACAACTAGGGTTGTTCCTCGTGATTGTTTTTCATGTTAAAATAACAGGAAAGAGGACAATAAAACAAATGTATTTCACCATCTCAAGCTGAAGTACCTCTTTGAGTATGAGACTGCTGTTTGCTTAAAGTCTAATCATGACCATGATTGTTTCCTAAGCTTTACCTAGTACTTCTTCTAATTCTAATCCTGACGCCAAAGGTCCCCTAACCTTAACGACATAGTAATTTCTAATCCCACTGTTGCAAAATGTTTTTGCGCCAAAGCCTAATCAAAAACTTGAATTATTGACCTAAAACAATGGAAAAAGGGGGTCCGGTTTTGTTTTGTTTTTGTACGGACAATGCTTTAAGACCGTAACAGCCAGAGGCAGAAATTACAAAACATTTTGCTGATTTAAATTGTTTCGTAGTCACTGACAGTAATTTATTACATTTCCAAGCTAACCAATCACATCATTATCCGACTGAATTGTAGTATATACGTACGTCAGTAAGTGAATACATCACATGTTCATTGCGCCGTGATATTCACTGCTGATTAAGACCATCTTCAGCTCAGTGGGAGGTACAGACTGTTGTTAGTTCAAGCTTATTTATTTCAGGTCAGTACAAAATTAGCTAGCATTCTTTATAAGGTGAACAGCTCAGCAGACACGACTGTTGTGGCTTTCGTGGTCTTTCAATATGCTTTTCACAAGGAACTCACATACTGTGTAGCACCAATGAGTTGACAACAATGCTTTCAATCACCAGTGAGAGGAGCTTCACTGCTAAAAGTGACTGGTTCGTTAAGTGACAACGATAATTCAATATAGTCTGTTCAGTTTAAAAATTCAGTGTTAAAGATTTTTTTTGGTACACGCACCGATCGCCCCGAATAGCAGCTACACTGTCTAGTGCTGACTATGACACCCCGACCACAGACGTGTGGTTCAATGTTGTATTCCTCAGCGTTTTATCATGAATATCGTTACTCCAAGAATATCCTGCAGAAGATAGATTATTCATTAATATTGTCAGCTAATATCACCCTCTCCTGATGACAAGCTTCACTGATTTGGTTGTCAAATATTTGTATGTTTTCTGTTTCAGAGCTCCAATAATATTCTTCTTCCATTGTGATTCTCTTCTCTACATGTGTGGTAATATCAGCCTGATTATTCATGCACAGGGAGAAGGCCCCTTTGTAAATGGATTTAAGTGAGAGTTTAAATGGGCACTAATCTCACTCGCTGAACATCCGTGAGCTGCAGGGGGTCTCATCCACACACACATGACTCAACCCCCCTCTTTTTCTATTTCGATTTTATGTGTGTGGATGAGACCCCCCAATTTAAACACACACAAAAACACACACCCTGCCGCTGTCACACAGTTAAAGGCAAGGCAGGGCCTCTCCACAACGCGGGGGTAAAGTCACAGAGGTCAGTGCTCAGTTTCCACATCAAACCCAGGAGCAGAGGCCAGAGTCTCATCCCCCCTCCCACTCCTCTCCCTCTCTCCTGCTCTCTCTTGCTCCCCGCCCTCCCCTACTCTCGCCACCCACTCCACCCCCCGCCCACACCAACACACAACCTCCTCCTCCCATGCTGGATGACAAATGCTCTTGGCTGTCAGCTCTGCCCACAGTCCCTGGTAATTGAAATAACAGCCAAGGCCAGCCCCGTCCACTTTCCAACTGGTGGCTCTTGCTCTGTGCAGCCACCCATCAATGACAGTGAACTATTACCCTGGAAGTGGAGCGCTGCGATACATCCAATACACCACCCCTGCAACACTCCCACACACACCACACCCACACACCACACCAACACACACACACCTCCCCCCCAGTGTCCTTCCTCGGCTACCCGAGCCTCCTAATGTTTAACCCGTTGCTAACAGCCTCGTTTCTCTGTCTCTAAGCTGCTACAGTAGGAAACAGTGGGCAAACAAGCCTGTCTCACACACACACACACACACCACACAGACATTTCACACCCACACATACACACAGACACACACAAACACACACACTCACAACTCTCTTAAGGCATGCACAAAACTCAGAGCAGCAAACTTTTTTCCAGCGAGAAGTGCTGAGAGAGTTTAGTGCGGTGCTGTCTCACTTCACACTCTAATTCCCCAACAAGACGTTCAGTCAGTATCATTGTACAACACTGCTCAGCTGATGCGTTCTGAAGTTGCTTTAGAGGAAAATAAGTGAGACATAAAAGATTTCACAACTGGTGCCGGCACTGTAAAAGTCAGGATGCTGCCCATGCTCACGGTCAGTCAGTGTATTATCAGTTTTCTTCTCTCTTGTCAATGACAGCTCCTGAATTTACATCGGGGAAAGGTGCTACATGTCCAGTCAGCACCATGCAGGGTCTTCTTGTTGTCCCCCTCACTGACAGACACCAAACACAATGCCATAGGTGATCAGAGCTGTCATCTGCTTTGAAAGAGAAATGACAGCTGAACGAGACGCACTGAACACAAGCACAAAGCCCAGCAACGTGACAAATGAAGCACATAGCAGCAGCCAGCAGAGGAACAGGACGAAAGAAATGCACAGACCTTGTCAGAAGCTGCAGAGCCGTGGAGACTAGGAGACTGTTTTCCTTTCTACAGTCCTCTCTGTCTCCTCTCCTCCTCTCCCTCTCCTCTCCTCTTCTCTCCTCTCACTCTGCGTGTATGTACGTGTGTGTGATAATGTGCGTGTGTGTGAGTGTGTGAGTGAGTGAGTGTGAGTGTATGTGAGTGAGCAGCTCCCTCCCCTTCTGCCTCTCAGCTGCTCAGCTCAGGCAGTTCTCAGGAAATGAATGGGAGCGCACAGAGAACTGTTGTACTTGCAAATGACTTACCCCGAGTCACATGATCCGCTAAATGTAGGGTGGGCCGGTGGGTGGAGGCTTCATAAGCAAAGGGAAGACAATATACTCTAAGCTTTAACAGCATGCATCGAATTACACGGGGCCCCTCCGGGGAGGTTTCCGACGCGTCCGCTCTCAGCCAGCCCGAACTCCCTCTCTACCCCTCCCGGAGCGCAGCGGAGAGCCCCGGGCTGGGGGTGAGCACCGGAGCGCCTCCCCGTTTAAAGGGGACGGAGAGGGGAAGGTGTACGGGGACATTATTTTAACTCTGATTTACAACTAAATATTAGTTTATTCGTGTAGGAATGAATACTTTTATAATTGCTTATCTCTCTTTACTAAATACACATGTGGTAATAATGGGATGTTTCCGTTGAATAGTTACTGTAAATATTGATAATTGTCTAAATAGTTTAATTAAGTCATTTTATAACGTAATTTTATTTAAATAGAGCTGAGACAATGACTTGAGTAATCCATTAGTAGTTCTGTTGGATACTATTTTGATTATTTATTAGTCCTTTAAGTCCTTTTTAAAGCAAATATGTATAAAGGTTCAAGCTTTTGGATTTTAGATTAGTTGGGTGGACAAAAAAAAATTAGGCTTTAGAAAATTGTGAAAATTTTTCTAATGATTTATCGATTAATTGAGAAAATAATACATAAATAATGAATAACATAACATGTATCTTTTAATCATCATAACATATTTATCATACTTTTTTCTGTATTAACAACAGTAACAGAAGATTATATCATTTTTATTATGGATTAATAAATTAAATGCTAGTTATTAATATCAGTTATTTTCTTTCTACAGAAAATACTGCATCAAAGTTGATTTATTCAGTTAGCTTGTTTTGTTTACCACAGTCCAAAACCCAAAGATTTTCAGTTTACCTTCACAGAGGTCTTTTTTTATTTTTACATTTGAGAAGCACCAACCAGTGAATTTTGGGCATATTTGCATTAAAAAAACGCCACAAACAATCAACTGATCATTGATATTGCAGATTGATTTTATATTAATCGACTAATCAATAAATCTTCTTATTGTTTCAGCTCTAGCCGGCCAAACAACACAATTCTCACCAGATATTTTTTAATGAATAATACCTCTCAGCTGGCTTTTAGTTTCTGTTCCTACAGTGAAATGCCACATTTCTGCCTGCTGTTTAAGTGACCAGCCTTGAATAACATGCAGGAACATTTCCTCATAATGACTGCTTTTAAATTCTCTTCTGTACTGAGCCCGAGCCACTGTGCACATGTCAGTTTTCATCCTGGTGTTCTTGGGCTTGATGAAAGGTATCTCTGTGGTATGAGAGGCTGATGCTGATGCTGCTCAGCGCCCACAGCCAGTCCCCTGAGAGCTCTAATTAAGGTAAAGGAAGCAGGACTCATCTGCATGGCTGATGGAGCTCATACCACTCTTTATCATGGAGCTGGAGAAGCATGATTGAGAGAGGCAAAGATGATAGAGAGAGGCAGAGAGGGAGAAAAAAAGACACTAGTACAGTGAGCCTGGTCCAACTGCTACCCACTTAATATTCATTCTGTTTCACTTCAGATACTGTATGTCTTCTGTTTGCAATGAATGGAGGATAAAATGGTTGGGTGGAGACGAGAGGATGGAACGAAAGGGATGGAGGACCAGATTAATAAGGTTGGATAGGCTGGATAGAGGGATGGTTGGATGATTGTAAGCGGGTGAATTAAGAAGTGTATTTTGTGGCTGCTTGGATAGGAGGGGCTCTAGGTGTCCAATTGGAAGAGGGGTTGGTTGAATGAATGGATGAATGGATGCATAGAATAATGGAGAGGAGGGATGATCTGGCCGTGGTGTAAATTCTAATGGGATATAGATGCAGACGACAAAACTGTTTGGCTATTAAGGGTGTTCAACGTTTTTTTTTAAGCATTCTGAGTTCTAAGTGCATCTGGTGTTTTATGATGGGCAATCATTTTACATATCATAATCTAAATATGATATGTTTGAATACATTTTAAAAACTATATTATAGCTGATACCAATATACTTGACAGTTTCACCTCTATTCTTATTGAACAGGGGTGAAATAAGGCTGTGTTACACAATTCCTCAGTCAGTAAAGCTCCAAAAAAAAGCTTTTTTGTGTGTGGTTTCCATGACACCTACTACAATACCCAGCCAGCTACCAACCAATCACACAGTAAGAACAGCTCTTAGGGTGGGGGAAAAAATACACTGACAGAGCTGGACTTGGAACAAAATTGAACTGCTGTTGAGCAGACACCGATAAATGCTTGCTTTATTTTTTTCTAGTACTGGAATGGTCTGTACAGAAATCCTTCCATAATAAGATGACATTCAGTGTGACTTCTCTTAGAAATTATTATATGTAAAGAGGAACATGTTGAAAACAAAAGAAATCTACCATGAACATGTAGTGGAAGAGATGCACATAGAGTGAAAAAAAACTCAATAATGTGACATATTGCTGACGAACAGAAGGTGACATGAAACTGAAGCTGTGTGAGAATATCAAGTCTGGGCACATTGTGGCACATGAAGTAATGCAACGTGTTGTTTTGGTTGCAAAACAAACTTCCACCACTGTCAGTCTCTCCTCAGCATAATCTGACATACCTGCTATCCAATTACCTGTTGTTTCAATCAATCGGTGAATGCTGGACAATTGCAAAACCACAGAAACTTCAAATTACAGACATATGTTTATTCATCTCATGGACTCAAGTGCATTTACACATAACAATGGTCAATTATAGATTAATATGACATTACTTAATCTCAGAGAAAAATTCAGATTTTCGTGAGAGGATTGGCTTGTTAATAGGAGCTTTGAAGGCTCTGTGTGTGATGGAACACTAATGTAACATCAGCCATAAGGCCCACTGATGATCCTTATAATGACGTCCTGAGGAGCTCTCTCAAATGAAATCCTCGCTGTGTAACTGGTGCCCCAGGAGTCCTGGCATGTCTTGAAGGAAGGCAGGCAGAGTGGAGCACAAACAGGCGCTTCGAGGGAGGTGGAGGAGGGAGGAGTGTGGACGGAAAAGGAGGGGGAGGAAGCTGCAGAGATCCATTGGAGGAGAGTAAGAAGAGGAGGAAGAATGAGAGAGGATGATGGGAGATGGTCTGAGGGACACGGGGGAGGGGTCAGAGGAGGGATGGAGCAAGCATGGGAAAGGAGGTGTCGGACGGGGGTTGGGGGCTGGGGCTTCCAGCTTCATCCCGATGCCCCCAATAGGGCTTATCAAACACCTGAGATACAAGCACCTCTCCCAGGGCTGCGCCAACTCCAGATAGGTTGCTAATGCGTCACCCTGGGGTGGGAGCAGTTCAAAGACGGTGTGGGTGTCTGGGGGGATCATTTGTGGAGCGGCATAATAAGCTGTGAGGCATCAAGAAGAGCATTATCATTACACATTTCTCCCTTGCATCATCTGACCCAATCTCATCAAATTATTGTAACACCATTCACCATTTAGTCACACACTACAAAATTTCTACATTGAGGGGGCGAGCATTCTTACTGTGCAAAGGAATCCTTTACTCGTTTGAAAAATGCATGTGTGTGTGTTGTGAAATAATGTGAGTGATGCTCCCTTCCTGTTGTCTCTGGCTGAACTTTAGACTCTGGACTGAAAGAACAGACACGCCAGACGAGGAAGTAGGGAGCAGAGAAGCTAAACACAACCTGTTACTGCACAGTCAAGAGGGCGGTAGGGAGGGAGTGGGAAGGGGGGGAGAAAAACACTCAAGAAACAGGACGTTTTCTTCTATTGTTGGTTGAGTTAGTGGATATCACTTTAATCAATACGTGTGCACTAAAATCACATGTTGTATACCATTCCTTTCATTCTCTTCCCCTTTGAAAAAAAGAGGACACATAGGATTTAAATGAATGAAAGAAAAAAAATCACGGGAAATAAAAAAATATAATGATGTGGCTATGAGAAAAGAGTGAAAAATCAATATGAAACCTTGAAAGTAGGATGGACAAGAAAATATATTAAAGCCCTGATTTCTAGAAAATAAAGTGCTCACCTCTGGAGCTTCTCTTTATCCCCCGCAGTCCAACTGTCTTCCCAGTGCCCAACACAATAGGGCCACATACACAAAATGAGAAGCTTTTGCTCTCAGCCTCACAACTCAGGGTTTTTTGTGCTCCAGAATAAAATCTGAGAAGCACAATGGATTGGCCTAAGCCTGTGCGTCTGTCTGCCCGCCTGTCATGCACAATATCTTCTATCTTTGACAAAACTTTGGGGAATGATGCATGTCATGGCATCTCTTTCTGTGACAGGACAGAGCACGGTACAGAAAAACTTTGCCCATTCAGTAAATGTGAAAGCAGCCTTCCCGAAGTCTGCATAGTAAAGGTCAAACATTCAAGTGAGGCAACAATAAGAAAAGAACATTTTTGACTGGAGCCGAAGACATTATCAACTTCATCAGGGAGTGGGAAAAGTGTTGGGTCTTTTGCATCAGACAGTATCTTAATCCTGCAAATAGTTTATGTGATCATATTTATTTGTTAGTTGTATCATAATTCTTTATTGTGTGAATAGTCTACATTGTTATCTCTGTTATACTTTCTTATGTATCTCCATATCATTCCTGCTTGACAGATTTTCCATGACCATAGCTTTTTATTAATTCATAAAGGTCTTCATTCAATAATTAACAGGAAATGGACTGTAGTGTGTCCACAACAAACTATGCATGATTGAGGATAATGACCCTTTCCTTTTACTTACTGATAAAGTAGCACAATGCAAACATCTTTGGGTTTGAATAAATTGAACATAAAGATTTCCTTTTGTCCTTTTTCATATAAGATGTGTTTTTTCCAGTGCTGCAGCTAATTCAGAGGTGCTACTTCTCATATGATGCGATGCAATTGTGACTTTGAAGTTATTCAATGTTACTTTGATGATTTGTTTCAACAGATT